GGGGGGGGGGGGGGGCTGTCCCCCCGGTTCCTACGCCTCTGATTAAAACTGTCTTGACGAAACCGAAAGCAAGCTGTCACGGTATAATTCTGAGTATCCAAATTCCAAGAAAAAGTACTCCGAAATATGATCCTTTGCACCGCATAGTGGGCGGGTTTTTCGGGAGGGACATTTATGATATTGATATAATAAATTGTCCTGAAAGCAACAGAAGGATAAAGACTTACATAGATAACGTAAACGTGGAATTCTCTCTAACTTCTCTAGTTTTTCTTTGCTTAAAAGATTTTACAGAATAATTTTTTTATCACGTACACCAATTAATAAACAACTTGCATGTTAGACTAATTTTTTGATCTAGGCAAAAAAGTAAATTCCCGTAAAGAACTTATTAAAATGAATAAAATTGCAAAGTTTGGTTACGAAATGTTGTAAAATACGGAAAATATAGCCTTGCAAATTTTGTATATGTTTGTATTAATACGTGCGGAAATTACCATTTTAAATTTTGAGCCAAAAATGGTAACAATTTGTATAAACATGTACAAAATTTCGCAATCAAATTTTGCAATTTTACTAATTCATGATATTCTTTTCTGCTGTGGTATTTGATTCCCTTCTCTTTACTTCGATTATAATTTAGTCTAACATGCAAGTTGTCCATTTGCAACTGTCATGTAACATCATGCATGATATCAAGATATATAGTCTTATGGAAATCATATCCCGTTAAAAGACATGTTTGTTCTTCCCAATTGTGTTCTTCTAGACATTTTGACAAGTGAAGACGGTTTAAAACATTGGTACCAACAATCACATGTGTAATAATGAAAATCCGAAGTACAGTTTAGAGTATATAGTAATTATTGCATTATTAAACAAAATAAATTCATACAATAAATGAAGTTTTTTGGTATAATCAATCCCCAGACTTTGGTCGTAAGGCAGCACTTCCCTTGCGATAGTAACTTCTAGTATTTAGTCTAACCTCAATGTTAGAGTCATTTAGTATAATGAAAAGTCAGTATACAATTTGCTCCATCAATCTATCATTTATATAAGTAGCACGAGAAAAGGTCTCCGTCATTCATATCATCTATTCATATATTCCCAGGAGTCCAGTCAACAACTTCGGAATTTTTGCGCACTAAAGATAGAGGCAACCCCAATGTACGCAGAAGTAAGAGACAAAACAAAGCCGAGAAAGTTTACAACTTTCACACCCTGACAGCAGTAATGAGGAAGGTCTCCGTGACAGCCACACAGGTTCTTTAAAAAGCCAACGCACTGCATAGCAGCACCACAAAAGCAACAGCAAGTGAAGCCATAATCCATCGAATCCCAGCAGCCTTTCGCGCCAATGTTGGAGGATACAATGCCGGCCTGAAACACATTCACTACTCCCTCCAGCACAAAAAAATTAAGCTCGGGCAAGAGAAATGTTGAGACGTCGATTTTCCCAATATCGGGTGGTTGCAGGACTTTGTCTTTGCGAAGAGCGTTGAATAGACGATACAGAAAAAACAAGTTAAACGCGGTACCGCACAGACATGTCAACGTCAGTATAGTATGTCGATCACGATTTGAATCCTTCAAATGGTAGTCGCAGTAGCAGTCACAGCCAATATCAAATAAACGGTAAACAATCAACAAAAAAGACCAACATTTAAGCAGTCGTTCGACCATGATGAATTAATGGTTTACCAAACAGAAAACGAGGTGCGCCACTATTGTCAATATTGCATGTTCAAAATTGTAAGCAAAGTTGTTTTCTAAGGGAAACCCCCTGGCGGCATATACAATCTGAAAATATGATCAATCGCAAAGAACGTAATAAAAGATAAATTATACTTTATAGTGAAACACCCATGCTGGCTTGTTGTATAGTGTTATGTGCGATTTCTGCAAATTTAACCATTTACAAAATCCAGTAGGGGCTCAATGACTTTTCAAGGTGATGATGACGACATTAAAACTGTCTTGACAAAATCAAAAGCAAATTGTCATGGTATAATTCTGAGTATCCAAATTCCAAGAAAAAGTACCCTGAAATATGATCCTTCACACCGCATAGTGGGCGTGTATTTCCGGAGGGACATTTTATGATATTGATATCATAAATTGTCCTGAAAGAGGGTCTGAATGGGGTTAACTGACTACTGACATTTGCCTGAATTTTTGACTGACAACTGACACAATATCCTAACTGACTACTGAGAAATGATGAAAAAAATTATAAGTCAGCATTTTGCAGTAACTGACTACTGACAGCTTGCAATATATCGCACTGACAACTGACAATTGGCTTAAATTTTAGCTGACAACTGACACCCAAAGACCCCCATTAAGACCCTCCTGAAAGCAACAGAAGGAATAAAGACTTACATGGATAACGTAAACGTGGACGTCTCTCTAACTTCTCTAGTTTTTCTTTGCCTAAACGATTTACAGAATAATGTTTTTATCACGTACACACGATTAATAGACAACTTGCATGTTAGACTAATTTTTGATTTAGGCAAAAAAAGTAAATTCCCGTAAACAACTTAGTTAAAATCAGTAAAATTGCAAAATTTGGTCACGAAATGTTGTAAAATACGGAAAATAAAGCCTTGCAAATTTTGTGTATGTTTGTATCGCGTGCGGAAATTACCATTTTTTAGCCGAAAATGGTAATTTCCGCACGTGATACAACTGATGTACAAAATTTCGCAACCAAATTTTTCAATTTTACTAAATTTCATTATGTTCTTTTTTGCTGTGGTGTTTGATTCCCTTCTCTTTACAGTTAGATTAAAATTTAGTCTAACATGCAAGTTGTCCATTTGCAACTGTCATGTAACATCATGCACAACTACAAATGAAGATATATAGTCTTACGGCCGTTCTCAGTTATATTTAGTCTATAGCCTGAATGTTATAGAGTCATTTAGTATAATGAAAAGTCAGTGTACAATTTGCTCCATCAATCTATCATTTATATAATTTATCAGGGGAAAAAAGTAGCACAAGAAAAGGTCTCCGTCATTCATATAATCCGTTCACATATTCCAGGTGTCTCAACAACTTTGTAACTCTTGCCCATAAGCGATAGAGACAACCTCAATGAGCGCATAAATAAGAGACAAAACAAGGCCGAAGAAGTTTATGCATTTCAAATCCGGACAGTAGTAATGAGAAGGGTCTCCATGACAGCCACACAGGTTCTTCAAAAAGCAAACGCACTGCATAATAGCACCACAACAGCGACTCCATGTGAACCCATAATCCATGAAATCCCAGCAGCCTCTTGTAGCATGTTGTAGGATACAATACCGGCCTGAAGTACATTCACCACTCCCTCCAGAACAAAAAAATTAAGCTGGGGCAAAAGAACTTTTAAGACGTTGATTTTCCCAATATCGGATGGTTGCAGGACTTTGCCAAGGGCGTTGAATAAACGACCCAGAAAAACCCAGTTAAACATGGAACCGCACATACATATCATCGCCAGAATAGCATCTTGAACAGAATTTAAATCCTTAGAACAGTAGATGTAGTAGAAGTCACAGCCAATATCCAACATACGGCAAACAATGAACAGAAGAGACCAAAATTTAAGAAGTCGTTCGACCATGATGGATTAATGGTTTACCAAACAGAAAAGGAAGTGCGCCATTTGCTGCTTGTATAGTGTCAATTCTCTGGTGTCAATTATTGCATGTTCAAACTTGCAAGCCAAGTTGTTTTCTGAGGGGTTGGGAAACCCCCCTGACACATATACAATATAACAAAGAACATAACAAAGGATAAATTATACTTTATAGTGAACCAACCATGCTGGCTTGTGGTATAGTGTCATGTACAATTTCAGCAAATTTAGTTAACTATTTACAAAATCCAGAAGGGGCTCAATGACTTTTCAAGGTGATGATGACGACATTAACACTGTCTTGACGAAATCAAAAGAAAAGAGTCATGGTATAATTCTGAGTATCCAAATTCCAAGAAAAAGTAAATACCCTGATCCATGAAATATGATCCTTTACACCGCATAGTGGGCGGATATTTCCGGAGGGACATTTATGATATTGATATCATAAATTGTCCTGAAAGCGACAGAAGGAATAAAGACTTACATAGATAACGTAAATGTGGAATTCTCTCTAACTTCTCTAGTTTTTCTTTGCCTAAACGACTTACAGAATAATTTTTTTATCACGTACACACGATTAATAGACAACTTGCAAAAAAAGTAAATTCCCGTAAAGAACGTATTAAAATTAGTAAAATTGCAAAGTTTGGTTACGAAAATGTTGCAAAATACGGAAAATATAGCCTTGTAAGTTTTGAATATGCTTGTATTACGTGCGGAAATGACCATTTTTGAGCCGAAACGGGTAACAATTTCCGCACGTAATACAAACATGTACAAAATTTCGCAACCAAATTTTGCAATTTTACTAATTTCATTAGGTTCTTTTTAGCCGTGATGTTAGTTGATTCCCATAAATTTATTATTGCAAAGCTTTCGATCCGTAAGCCCGGATCTTCATCAATGCTAATAACATGCGATCCGCCCAACTCACACGCCCTCCTTATACACAAAAGCGCCGCGACCCGTCGGCCAGTCTTATGGAAATCATATCACGTTAAAAGACATATGTTTGTTCTTCCCAATTGCATGTGTTCTTCTAGACGTTTTGACAAGTGAAGACGGTTTAAAACATTGGTACCAACAATCACATGTGTAATTATGAAAATCCGAAGTACAGTTTACAGTATATAGTAATTATTGCATTATTAAACAAAATAAATTCATACATACAGTGTATATATAGGGCAATTAAAATAAATGAAGTTTTTTGGTATAGATCAATCCCCAGACTTTGGGTCGTAAGGCAACACTTCTCTTGCGATAGTAACTTCTAGTATTAGTCTAACCTCAATATTAGAGTCATTTAGTATAATGAAAAGTCAGTATACAATTTGCTCCATCAATCTATCATTTATATAAGTTTATCAGAAAAAAAAGTAGCACGAGAAAAGGTGCCCGTCATTCATATTATCTATTCATCTATTCCAGGTGTCTCAACAACTTTGTAATTTTTGCGCATCAGCGATAGGGACAACCTCAATGAGCGCATAAATAAGAGACAAAACAAGGCCGATAAAGTTTATAAATTTCACATCCTGACAGTAGTAATGAGAAGAGTCTCCGTGACGACATCCACACAGGTTTTTTGAAAAGCAAACGCTCTGCATAATAGCACCACAACAGCAACAGCAAGTGAAGCCATAATCCATGGAATTCCAACAGTCTCTTGCGCCAATGTTGTAGGATACAATGCCGGCCTGAATCACATTCACCACCCCCTCCAGCACAAAAAAATTAAGCTCGGGCAAGAGAACTCTTGAGACGTTGATTTTCCCAATATCGGGTGGTTGAAGCATTTTGCGAAAAGCGTTCAATAAGCGATTCAGAGAAACCAAGTTAAACAGGACACCGCACAGGCATAATATTGACAGTATAGCATCCAGAACGGAATTTGGATCCTTAAAGCAGTAGTGGTAGTACAAGTCACAGCCAATATCCAGCATACGGTGAACAAACAAGAAAAGAGCCCAAATTTTAAGCAGTCGTTCGACCATGATGCATTAATGGTTTACCAAACAGTGCGCCACTTGCTGTTGTAGTGTTAATTTGATTGCATATTCAAAATTGCAAGCAAAGTTGTTTTCTAAGGGTTGGGAACCCCCCCTGACACGTATACAATCCGAAAATGTGATCAGTCGCAAAATGAACGTAATAAAAGATAAATTAAACTTTATAAATTATAGTGAAACAACCATGCTGGCGGCTTGTTGTATATAGGCATGTCATGTTGTCATGTACAATTTCAGCAAATTTAAATTTACAAAATTCACTAAGGCTCAATGACTTTTCAAGGTGGTAGTGACGACATTAAAACTGTCTTGACGAAACCAAAAATAGACAAAATAAGCTGTCACTGTATAATTCTGAGTATCCAAATTCCAAGAAAAAGTACCCAGAAATATGACCCTGTAAGCCAGGTTTCCACTTCAAGCGTACCGTACCGAAGCATATCAAAAACATTTTAATTGGTTAATGTTGATTGGTTAATACTTACGTAGTATACATGGCGTGCTTATGCGATACCACGATAAGGTATTCTCATAAGCACGCCCATATATATACCAAAATCCAGTATGCTCATGAGCATGACCAGTATCACCGAATTTTGGTAGTAGTACGCCAAAAAGTTGACTTGCAACGAACTTTCAATTTTGATACGCGAATCAACCGAATTTATTAACCTCTTCTCAATCTACGCATGCTCACCAGTACGTTTCGGTACGGTATGGTTCAAGTGGAAAAAACTTTACACCGCATACCAGATGATCTTGATACGCGGAAAAGTACTGGCACTAGTTGTGAAATAGAAATCCATTTTATGATTAAAACAACTGAATATCTCCTGTAATATACTTTATTTCGATTCCATATTTTTGTCAGAGCTATAGTTCTCATAACCAAACATAATTAAAAAATTTCAACTAGTTTCATAAAGAATAACGAAAGATATAATTGACTGAATACATCAAAATGGATTTCTATTCGGACAACCCTTTCTGAGCGCTGATTGGCTAAAATACGAACACGAGATCACCTGGTAGTGGGCGGGTATTTCCGGAGGCAGACTGGTCGCACTATGTCTATGTCACCATGGATAATAAAATACATGGATAGGAAACTAGCTGACGTGACCTAATGTTTTCAATGGGATGATGGCGTTGAAACCTAGTTGCAAACCAAATTCTCAAAAACGGCATGTTTAGCGATAATACAGCTAAACGTTTTAGTCAAACAGCAAATAAATATAACTACGCCATTCTACGATGAAATCTCTAAGTATTCCCGGTCAATTTTAGCAAATATTTCAAGCACTAAACAGTGAGAAATGCATCGCAAATTTCGTTAAAATTGGCGACGCCAATTTCGTAGCTACAAATGTAAAAAAATACAAAACACAGACGAAAAACATTTACCTTGAATACTTTGTCGTGGCTTAAGCATGTTTTTAAAACAATTAGACCAGTTTATGCTTCAATATTACTCTTTTAAAGCGGAAAATATAGCGAAACAACAAAAATGCCGAGAACTTTGGCAATACACGTGACGTCACAGATTGCAACTAGGTTTAGACTGTGACGTCAGAAAGTTTCCTATCCATGATGTCACTGACCAGAGGAGGAGTGAGGACTATACCGGCATGCAACGCGGTCAGGCGCGGTTTTTTACATATTATCGATTTCTCGCTCTGCGCCGTCATTGTTCGGTCGGCTTTCGCTGTGTTTACACCTCGAGGTTTCAAGAGATTCAGAAAAGATTTATCGAAAAAATATTGTAAAATGGTGGATTTTTGCACTATGCATGGAAACAAAGCTTCGTTTTTGGGTGGACACGAGCTTCTGTATGTTACTGTGTGTCAAAACAGCCTTTAATTTTGATTCCGGAAGAATTACCGAACTTGAATGTCGTGTGGTTGATGTTTATAGTTTTACGGATAGTTCGAAGAATAGTCCTTTGTCCAGCTGTGGTTAACGGGATAAAAATTGATGAAATTGTTCGCTGATTGCGGTAGTCCTGCACTGGTACAAATTCACTGTAGTTGTGTTTTTAAGGTGAGATGATTTTTATATAAAAATTAAAATAGAAATATAAAAATGCTCCAATGTTGTATAAATACAGCAGTAATAATTAAATGTATTTTTATTTCATATCATGTAGTTCTTCGACCCTAATGATCTACGGGAAGGAGGTATAAACAAAGAATATAACAATGTTATGTTGTTGGGAGTTTGACATTTCAACATCACCAACATCCCAAGCAATCCCACCATGTGACCCAGATAGTCAAGATGATGAGCTGGATAGTGTCTTCCACCAACAGAATTACATCATCCAACTGATTGTATAACTATTTATATTGCCAATAAACCCTGTTTGCCCTGACAGACATTCATACACACCGAATGATGGAAGAAGCGCCCAGTGTTAGCATTGTTGTAAAGAATGAAATGGAGGAAATTCAACACTATCGCAACACTATATATAAATCTATTGACTACTGTGTGATGCGTTGCAAGGATTTATACTGATCAACCAGTTATCTATGCTCAAATAATCAACCAGTTGTGTATTATTATACTCTGCCTAACGCCAGATTATTTTACTGTCTAACACTAGACTATTTACTCATCGGGGGGAGAGTGCTGACACTCAAATACTCAATGGGTTAAAAAACATTGAAAGAAAATGTTTAGCAGAAGCTGCAAAATTGTTTATTGGTGTCTGGTGTAATACTGACATTTCTTTTATTTGTAAGGATAGAGCTGGGGAACCTGTAGTGGTACAGTCTTGGCCCTACCCCGGTTTTCCTGTACTGCATGTGTTTTCGTCACTTCCCTGATTATACCATAAGTATTGTATCCCATGCATGGACACCATCTTATCAATTATGCAGTTTTTTGACAATCTACCGTAAACCTCCACCTAAAAGCACTGGGCTTATATTCTTTCGTAAGCGATTTTTGATGGGCTTACACAAGGGGGGCTTATACATGGGGGGGGGGGGGCTTATATTCGGGGGTTTATGGTATGTATGGTTTTCATGATTTTCAGTGTATAGTCTTCCCTTGCTCATCACAAATTAATAAAAAGATCACACACTACATATTAATTGATGTTGATGAAATTTATTTATTTTAAAATTGAAAAAATACTAACATAATATTACTGTACTTAAAGATAATTAAAATGTTTTTAAAAATAAAATCTTATGTGCACAATTTTAAAATGTTGCACACATTCATTTCACTAGAAACACGGATGCTATATGATAAAGTATATGAAAGGTGATGCTTTTGCTCTAGCTTAATGATGTATTAAAACAACTAGAGGTATTACATAATTGGTATAAACCTCTTCAATCGTAATCATTTGCATGATTTCAATGAATGCTTTATCTTCCTCAAATGTCCATTTATGAAGTTTTACTGGGGATTTCTTTGGAGGAGTCGGTTTAATCTTTCTGATAGGAAACTACAAAACAAACAGCAAAAGTGAGAGGGGCAATCTCAGTGCCAGCACAATTAGACAGCAACAAAGAAACTCATGGATTTTTACCAGGATTGTGGGCATGCTTCTCCAGGAAATTTGTGTACTATAGGTTTTCTGGAATGCCACTCCCAGCATTGAAAAATAATATTGGCGTACAGGTGGATAGAAATTGCCCAACATTGTCATGACTTTATTTAAAGATGAACAAGAGGTATAAAATAGAAGGAATACATCTCCTGTCTATATACTGTTTAATTAAGGTCAATCTTAAAACAATTGCCTAATATTTTTTTAAAGCAGAATTCTGCCCAACTAAACACTGACTGGAGGGGTTGCAACCCCCAGCCTCGTATGCCTATGGACAGAATTTCTCCCAGGCAAAAAAGCATTAAAATACAATGTTACTATATTGTCCCATTAAAAGACCTTAAAAATATACAATGTTTTAGTGTTGTCAAACTGGTCATACTGTATTTTATGTTTGCAGGCTTTCTGGCATCCTTGTATAGAAAAGTAGGACAAAAGTAGGACTAGAATTTTAGAAAAAGTAGGAATAAAGTAGGAAAATGTGTAGAAAAGTAGGACAAAAGTAGGAGTTTTGGAGATGCAAATAACACAATTGTGTAAATTTTTGGTGCTCAATATTTTTATGTACTCATTCACCTATGCAGCATTTTTTTCTCAAAACTTTTAAATTGCATCGGTATAAAAGCTAAGGCATCTGCTCTGCAGCAACACAATTCAAATGCATGTATTGGGCTACAGGGCCGTAAGAAGCTCTTTTCGATTGTGGGAGGGGGGGGGGGCTGAAAGCGAGGGCCGAAGGCCTGAGGAAATTTTTAAATTTAGAATCTCTGAAATGCCATTTCCTGGACTTTGGGGAAGATTTGACAGAATTCTAATGGTCAAAAAACAGCGTTTTAGTATGTCGAAATTTACAATTTAGTAGTACTAAATGGGCAAAGGCGTATTTAATTAAAACTATATATTGGATAAGTTGCAGGAAAGTATGGGTAATATCTTCATTCTTTGCAGTTTGTCATGGATTAAATGATAAAGGTCTGCATCAAGATTTTGAAAAAAAATTATTATTAGCAAATTATTGGGGGGCTGCAGTCCCCCGGTTGCTATGGCCCTGTATATATGATGCTTGATCAACTGAGGAGGGAGTTGAATATTTGGAATCTCTATAGATCGTCGGAAATGGCACTTTCGGAGTCTTCATTAATTTATTGATTATGATTCTAGAGATGCTATGAAATTTTATACTCGGAAAATGCACTTCTTCTCCTCCTGAGATCTTATGCTCTGCGACACAAATAGGGAATAAAAATTACGGGTACTATAGATCTAATTACGAGAGCTATAACATACTGATTCCCCAAGCTGTCTTAAAAAAGTAGGATTTTATGAGAAAAAGTAGGAAAATCAAGCAATTTTTAATAAAAAATAGGAAAAGTTGAAGAAAAGTAGGAAAAAGT